TACAAATTGTTGAAGAAACCATGCTTTACTCATTCAATGACGATGGCATCCTTGTTGAAAATCAACTGGCCATATAATAAGTGAGTTTATTTTGGGACTCTTGATTCATTCTTTTGGTCCATATATCTCTGCCAATTTTGCACTATTTTGGTTACTGAAGCTTTGAATTAAGTTTTGAAATCTGGAAATAGGGTTTCTCCAATTCTACTCTCTTTATTCAATGTTAGTTAGTTATTGACCCCTACAATTCTGTATTCATAAAGAATATTAGTAATCTTCCCTTTTTACCATATTTTTGTCTAGCTTCAATATCAGAGTAATGCTAGTCTTAATACAATGCATTACGAAGTGTTCCTTCTTTAGGGATGGGGATTTAGCTCAATAGCACCACGCCTGCCTTGCAAGCACAAGGTTCTGAATTTGATCCCCAGTACAAAAAAAAAAGTTTTCCTTCTTTTATTTTTTTGGGAAGAACTTAAGATAGACTGATATTAATTTCCCCTAAAATGTGTGGCAGAATTACTTTACATAGCCATCTATTCTTGGACTTTTAGGGAAGTTTTAGATTTGTCAGTTGCTTCATATATTTTGAGAGCTGTTTTGTATTAAAATGTGTTATGTGCACCTACCAACTCCCCATGGTGAATGTAATCATTATGTACTACAAATATGTAACAAGATAAAATTTTAAAAGTATATAATTACGATATCTTCTTGTTGGATTAAGACTTTCATCAATATAGACCTTAATTCCCCCTTATCTGTGGGGGATACATTCCAAGATCCCTGGTGGATGCCTGAAATTGCAGAGAATAACAGACTTGACAAACACTATGTTGTTTCCTATACACAATGCAAAACTGTAATGCCTTCTCCAGCTTAACTGAGCACTTACTGGCTGTAATTTTTGCAGATTGAAGCACAATAAAACGAACACTAATTTCTTTCTCCACAATTTTCCAGATAGAATATTCTTACCACAGATCGTGGGAACCTGAGCCTTGATTGTTTTTTCTTTTCCTATTTTCCTTATTGGATGTTTCTTGCAGGCATGCCACCTAGTGGTATCAGTAATGAACTGACGTACTAATCTATTGGTTAATTCTGTTCTCAATTATGCTAATTAGAATCATATCTATGCACACATTGCTTAAGGCTGAATCCAGAAACTTATAAACAAATTTATGAAGTTGTTTTATCAACATCATCATTAGCAAGAATAGCAGCAGCATAAAGTTCTTCTGATAGTTAATAATAACAGTCGACTGCCTGGAAAGAAGTATAATGTGATTGATTGTTAAGACTGGTATCACAGAGCAAGATATCTCAAGTTGAGCATTTGGTGACACTTGAATAAAATGGCTGGCTCCCAACCCACTCACCCTAAAGTGAATCCTCCTGAGCTATCACTTAGTGTTTTGTTGCCTGGTTCTTAAAAAGGATTACAAAAGAAAGATTTTTTTTTTAAACCAAATAGAAAAAATAGCCATAGAGAAAATAGATACAATAAAAAGAAACAGAAGAAAATTTAACATTTCAATATTCTATCAAAAAGAACAGGATGTGAAATTTGAATAACTACCAAATAAGGAAAAAAGCTCTTAGAAATTAAAAATACAAAAGTACCACAATAAAAATGCAATGAAGGCCAGGTATGGTGAAGTATTCCTGTACTCCCAGAACTTAGGAAGTTGAAGTGGGATTCCTTGAGTCCAGGAGTTCAAAAACCAGCCTAAAACCTGTCTCAAAAAATTACATGAAGTTGGGTGCCATGGCACATGCCTGACACAGCTATAATTCCAGCACTTTGGGAGGCTGAAGCAGGAGGATCAAAAGCACACTAGCCCAAGCAATGTGGTGACTTGGCAAGCTGCTGTCTTAAAATAAAAATTTAAAAAGGGCTGGATATGCAGCTCACAGTAAAGGCCCTGGGTTCAATCCCCAGTACCACCAAAAAGAAAAAAAAAAAAAGAAAAGAAAAGAAAAGAAAAGAAAGAAAGAAGAGCAAGCATGAAAGAGAGGGTGAGAAGATAAAAATCAAGAAACCAGAAAAAAAGAGACAGAACATTAGTCAAGAGAGTTACTCAGGTCAATCTGGGACCTTTAATATATAACTGTTAAGGGGTGTGCTAGAAAAAAAAAAGTGGAAACAAAGAGAAATTACTGAAGGACAGAGGAAGGATGTGACGTATCTGCCCCACTAACTTAGCGGGGAGAGGGAAATAGCTATAAGAGGAAGCTATGGGTATAGTTCCTTCTGCTAAAACTCTAAGTCCAAAAGAGAGGAGTATATCAGATAAGAAGACAAGGACTTCTGCTCTGATTTAAATATGAAGAAAATGTTTATATTATGGAACTGTACTGAATTATAAATAAGATCTTTTTATCTCCCTATGAGCTAGATAGATAGATTGTGGACTGTTTTATGTGGAGATGCAAAAGAAAACTGGAAGAGAACTTCCCAGACTGGATGCAGCTGGCAGTTTGAATAAGATAGCCACATCCTAAATATATCACAGAAAAAATTTATAGTATCAGAAGGGACATTTCCAAAAGCTGTCAGAAAAAGTGCCTAAAAGAAGAATTAAACTACAAAAGACATCATCAATAATACTGGATGTTTAAAACAACAAACAATGCCTTCAGAAGTACTGAGGGAGCCAGGCATGGTGGTGCATGGCTGCCATCCCAGCACTCGGAGACTGAGGCTAGTCGATAGCAGTGAGTTCAAGGCCATCCTGAAGTTCACAGCAAAAACTTGTCTCAAAAAAGAAAAAAAAAAAAACAATTCTGAGGCGGAAAAATGTCCATTTAGAATTCTTTACCTAATAAGTCTATTATTAAAAATAAAAACATTTCAGACAAATATGAGAAATTAGCCCAATACACACCATTCTTAGGAAGTTACTGGATGGTCTCTTCCAGAAAAATAACAGTGAGCCAAAAATCTAGACCACAATGGATCCAATTCAGGAGCACAATGAAGGAAAGTTCCAGGGGTCAGTACCCAAGGAAGAAAGTCGAATCACAGTACAGTAATTTGCAATGCTTAGTTGCACAGGGAGCAACAGTTACACAATCATAATGATACAGACACTTTATTTTCTACTCTAAGAATTAAAAATTCAGAAAATGCAATTATAGTTATAAGCCAGCAAGCACAAAGATGTTTGCAACTTCAAAAACGCGAAGATTTTGGATGGGAATGTAGCTCAGCAGTACTGCACCTGCCTGGCAAGCACAAGGTTCTGAGTTTGATTCCTGGTACCAGAAAGAAAAAAAAAAAAAGAAAGAAAGAAAAAGAAAATGTGAAGTCTTACAGTAAACCTACAAGTGACCCAGAAGATATTATTTATGATCAACTGTTGACAGAATAAAGAGATCAGAAAATAACAAACAGAAGGATGATAAAGAGCAGTGTAACTAACTTTAGAGAAATGGAGATGGGACGGTGTGAGTGAGATAAACCTTCATTTCTGAGAACAATATAGCACAATAAGAACAGGTATTATCTAAATTTGGTAAATCAAGAAAGAGTATAAGCATATTATTTTGAGGTATCAAAGTAAGTATCACTGCCTTGCAAGCGCAAGGACCCGAGTTCAATCCCCGGTACCAAAAAAAAAAAAAAAAAAAAAAAAAAAAAAAAAAAAAAAAAAAA